CTTCGTCCTCTTCCTTCGGCCCCTGCCTTGCTGCCAGCACAGGGAGTTCAGGGGCAGCAGATGGGGATAGTGACATTTCTAATGGGGAGAGATGGGGAGGGAGGGGAGGGAAGGCAGCTCATCCCTGCAGAGCTCAGGGGAGAGAGGACAGGAGAAAGGAAATTTGGAAACTCTCCTTGCTGGCGTTAAAAATGACTGGAGTCTGGAAATCCTGGAAAATAGTCACTGTGCAGGCGTACTTGTGGATCCCAGGCACAGGGGCCTTGCTGCATGGCTGCTGTAGATGGGTATGTCCATAACCTCTTTTCTTCAAGATACATTTTACTACTGGCAAAGAGAGACCTTAAGTATGTATATAAAATATATATTTTATATATATACATATATACATGTACATGTATTTGGCCAGATAATTTATAACAGCTTCCCAAACTTCTGTCTGCAAAAACCCGCATTTTTTTTCTTGGGCTTTAGCCTAAACAGCTGCCTTAGCCACAGGTGTTGTGTTTTTAAATTTAAATTTCTTATTAACATAATTTTTTACTGACATAATTAAGAAAGCAAAACTTTTAATAGCAAACCTGGCTCTTTGCTTACAGGAGGGAATGGTCACTCATTCTGAGTATCAAGGTCCCCATCTGCCCAGTTTTGCTGCCCTGCACAAAATCTTCAAATACTACAGAGCAGATGATAATTTTTTTCTTAAATTGTAACTTCTGCTAACTGGGTACATCCACTATGGTTTTTGTTCTCCAGGAGGTTTGGCACCTCTCCTGAAGAAGTGCCTCCATACTGATTATGAAGTTGCATTAATTCTTATATATGTTCTGTTCAGCCAGATTCGATTTAGGCTTTTCACTGTATTACCAATATTTTTTGTATTTTTTAATATAGTAATGTAGTTTAACAATTTCAGTAATATAAATTTAAAAAACAAACCAAAACAAAACAGAAACCTACAATAAGTAAAGATAAATACAGAAAAGCAAAATTTTAGCACTAGTCCTCTGAAAACAATAGAATTGAAAAATCTGCCCTTCACTTATGAGATGCATAAAGGAGGACATAATAAAACAAAACATAAAGCATATGAGAGTAAGCTGTTTTTCACTTTGACCTTAAATTAATTTGACCTTGTTTTAGAATGTCTTGACTTTATTTCATATCCGAATATCCGCTGAACAGACTGGTAGTTATCTTTTATAATCATATACCACACTGAAGCAATCTGCCCTATGACAGTGGG